CAAAAACCAAAAATTAGTACAATGGGCAATACTTATTGATTTTGATCTCTCAATGAACTTTATACTCTTTTGATCATAAAATCAAGGAAAAGTATGTAACATCCGATAAAATTGGAACGATACAGGAAAAAAAGTCTACTTACATTGATTCTGACTAGCTGTATCAACTAATCTATCGATGAGACGTCGTAGCCTTTGAGCTCCTGGCCCGGGTCTAAGCTTTTTCGGGTTCCCAACTTTTGAACAAGGTGGATTTCCCGCGCACCAACCACCCAGGGTGAAGCTACCATTCCCCCTGTGTAGAAACTCTTGATCAATCTTGTCCATAACCAGATCATCATTCTTGAATTTTCGCGCAAATGCAGCGCCACTTGCTATCATTTGTCCAATGTCATTGAGTGATAGAATGTGTGGATGTTGTTTTGGAGGAACATCCCAAGAGATATAGTGTAAGTCATGGTTAATAACAGTTGATGAAAACTCAGGGGCATTGCATATAACAGTTTGAAAATAGCCTTCTGGAGAGGACACGAAATTCGAGTAGTACATAAGTAGAGTCCTTGGAAGATTATCCCAACCCCATATGCAATACTCTATAAACGCGCGTGACAACACCGTCCAAGCTGAGCCTGTAACAAAATTTGTCACGTGGTCAGTGAGGATTCATATAGCCGATCCCAGACATTGTTGTTGTTGTTGCTTATAGTTGTTCAGACAGAATGTTGCAGATCTAGGCTGGAGCTACAGAACTTCTTATAGGTTCGGTAGAACCTAATAACTTTGGCCTATGTTGCCCGGATACTCCAAAAGTAGTGCGATTTTGAAGAATCCGTTATGAGTGTGGAAACATTTTTGGAGAGTCGGAGCAACATATGCTTTGGCTAGACCATGCATTTGTGTTTATGAAAATCTGCTTAATATGTATAAATAATTTATCCAGAACCAGTAAACCGCCTATTCTAGAATCCAGAATCCATAAACTCAAATCCTAACTCTATCTCCGACCATATCATATAGTTCATATTCTAACAAAGTCATTTCCATATATACATTAGATTGGTAAATTTGCATTTGTATGGCGTAAGATGTTCAAGAAGGCTAAAAGTATTCAGATTTAACTGTTAAAATCTTACCAGTAAAGAGTTTAAAGGCTGTGGGAAGAGTTCTCCTTGGTGCAACCCAAAATATATCAGACTTAGTATTCTGATACAGTCCGGGGTCTATGATAAGCGGCATTGCCCTTTCCGACCTGCAATAGGATTAATCGAGTAACATTAAAGTTAACGAATGAACTACAAATACAGACAAAGAACAAGTCAAGGAACTCGGTGAACTTATAGGAGAACATACTCTTTCCATCTCAACCGGCTTGTGTGTTCAATGAAGTTTAAGTCGCGTTTTAATTGAGAAAACGCGTAGAGAAGATCTGTAAAGCAATAGAATAAATCACATTTCACCTTCAAGTAAAGAAAACAGAAGAATAAATTGTCAGAACATACTATTTCTAGCTATGTTACTCGGATTCTTCAAAAATGTCGACAATAGTGTGTCAGATCCCCCAAAAGTAGTACATTCTTGGAGGATCCGACACAGGTTTGACAACATTTTGAAGAGTACGAGCAACATAAATTTCTAGTATGAGAGTTGAGAACTAACCATCTTGAGTTAGCAGGGGATAGTCAGAAGCACTCAGGTTAATAAACCAATCCCAATCCGTATACTTCTTCAAGAGAATAGAGGCGGCGTGTAGAGTGTTAGAGACCATGGTCGGACCCCGGTATGTCACTATGTTTGCTTTCGTAATCATGTGCACGTTTCCAATCTTGGCGAAAACAGGTTCGTTTGCAATTCTTGAAGCAAGCTCTAGTCTCTCCTCTGCTGCTGATTTTAAGTCCAGATGAACAATGTAGTAATTCCACGGATGATATATCGATTTCAACGTTCTCCAAAGCTGATCTAGTTCACCTTTTGATCCAGATATCAAATAAGCAAAACGCGGAGCAGGAGGAGGAGGAGGTGGTGGAGGAGGTGAAGGAGGAGGAGGCGGACTTGGAGCTTGCTGAACTTTTACTTCATCAATATACGGGCTAGTTTGATTCTCCATAACACAAGATGGGAAAATTGAGAAGACTGAATTGATCGTATGCAACGAGGAAATGAGGCCCAAGTCGAAGGAGGTTACAAGAAGGAAAATAAACACAAGTGAGCTTATAATAAGAGGAAACATCCATCTTTTCTCCACGTTCAACGACCTCATCGCTGGACCTTATCATGTAAGCTGACAAATGAATCTCTTTTCCCCTCTCTAAAGTCTACAACAAACAAAAACCGGAGAGGCAAGGTCCGAACCTACCTAAAAAAAGATTCAACAGATTTATAGTCTGCTACTTTTGACCACTCGCTCCCTTCAGTATATCCCTGAAGGAACGATTGACAATAGGTGGATGATCCGCCTCCGTGATCTCAACACAGGAAGTGGAATCCAACGGTTTATCAACGATTCGTTCACTCTGCCTTACTAGCTTCCTTCACTACCACTCAACTCTCATTTACTAGGCAATCGTGAACTAAAAGGACCCTCGAGCCCCTCGAACCAAAAGAATTGCCTTCTTCAAAATGATCCCCTTATCTTATACATCTCTGCATATTCTGTTGAAATCAAAAGCAACCAAATCAAAGGTCAACATCAACAATTGTTTAAACTAAAATGGTGAAAGAAAATTTCTCAATAAACCCTTAAACTGTTCATGAGCTAAAAGTTGGTAGAAAGACAAAACAAAACTCTTGCAATTGTAAACATTGGAGGAGCCAGGATATTCACTAACGGAATTCAATATATAAAAAAGTAAATGCACAAAGAAGCCAAGGGGATTCAACATATAGTATTTATACATACATAAAGATAAACATATTTAACCTAAGATCTAATTACGGACTGGAAGCGAAAATACCGTAAAAATGGCTTCTTTCTTCGAGGACTCTTTTGTAATAGCTTGATGAGCCGAACCAACAAGAGATATTACGTTCTACCCTCTGCTTCGAGCCCGGCCGAGAGTGAGTTTCCCGATAGTCTCTTCCTTCCTAGAAAAAGAAACTCTAACTATCAAACCCGTCCCGTCTCCTTACTCGAGATATCTGAGATAGCTCCGTAAACTAATAACTTATAATAGACGAGCCCATTATCCTTATGTTCCGAACTTGCTTCTTGGTACAAGGGGAGGGGCGAAGAATTCTAGTTATAGTTCTTCTTCTACCTAATCTTTAGTACCGCTTTGAGATTGAATCTTTAGAACCATGTGCCTAAGAGGGCGAGGACCTTTATGGCTGTGTAGTTTTTCGACGAAGATGTGTCAATTGACTCCCCTTCGGCTAAGGTGGAAACACTCTAACGCTCAACTATACTATACTGCAAGAATCTCTCATCCAAGGGTACGGTGTGGCTAATGGTCAATGAAGTATGGTTTAAGTACCATAAGCTACAAAATTACTCGATATCTGTGCTGGTGGGAGATACCCTGAGGTATAGGGTGTTGAATTAGTCGACATGCTTGCAAGCTTTCCCAGACACCACAGTTAACAAGAATTTATTCAACTATATTATATTCCAATGGTGGACATCCAAATAATTTATTTATTTTTATATTTATATAAAAAATAAACATAAGTAAACATCCAAATGAATCTTTTTAGCAGAATAATGCCAGAAATGTAAACATCAGGACTGCATTATCAAACAAATAAAAACATAGGCCAATATTATTGTCCTAAGCTAATAAATTAAACAAATTCAGATTTGCAATTTTTCTAAAACCCCAAAAGGGGCAGGAAAAAAAATAAATCTAATATAATAATTCCAGAAAAAAAAAAAAAACTAAATACATAAAATCATATATACACATAATTTTCATATAATTCGAGTTCGAGTTATCCCCATTACTGTTTATATCCTGGATCTGCCTCTATGTTATAAAAAAAACACGTAAAATGTACAATACATAGAGAGAAAAAAAATCAAATTTACATAACATTTGACAGAAATAAAATTGAAAAAAAATACCTTTATATTGGAAAATGAAATGATGAATGAAATTGTTGTGAAAGAGAAGAAGATCCCACTTCAGTTTGGTGTTTTTCTTTGAGTTATTTTCTGTTAACTGATTTCCGGGAAAACATAATAACAATTTATGTATATTTTATATAATTCATGCATAATTAATATGATTTGTAAATTAAGGGTGTGGTCGGTATAGACAAAAATAAGTGAATTTCTTACGTATTTTTTTGTTTTTGTTTTCGGTATGTAAGAAAAAAGTGTTATCATCAAAACATTAATATATAATCCAGAGAAAAAACTATGGGAGGTGGGGGTGGGGTAGGTGGTGTGGAGTGGTGGGGTGGGGTGGTAGGGACTATAGGAGTGAGGCTGTGAGGGTGAAGATTGATGAGGTGGGGAGGACACAATCAAATCAAATGCGGAATGTCACTTGTAGAATTTATTTTTCCTACTTCCATGGGGATATTAGAAAACTCGGTCATTCTCTAGTAACATTTTAAGTTATTCATTTTTCTTTAGTTTTGTTAGTGTAGTTTCAATGTTTTGACATTTGCTTATAAATATGTCACCTATATCACACCCCTTTTGTATAATAAGAAAGATTGTTTCGTACTTACTAGAGTCATACATGTTTATGATAATCATTCTCAATAATAATATTTTACTATAACAATTTGACTTTTTCATTTTGCAAATGAACTTTTCTACAATACCACCTCACTATACATGTCAAAAAAATCCAATGCCATTACATTAACTGACATATTGCACTAAATTGCTATCTTGTTGTACTTTTGTTAAATTCTTCAAATGCCCAACACGCATTTGGCGATATCTTTCAAGAATTTGAGCAACGGCTGAACAACATTTCCATCCGTGTAGGATTCAAGACAACACAATCCTATTTGTGGGATTACATTGAATATGTTGTTATACATGGGGTATAGGGGGGGGGGGGGGGCTGAGCAACATAGTCCATCTTTAGATCTCTGAAAAGGACTTGACTGTCCTAAATCCATGATTATCTGGAAGAGGTCCATTCCCTGGCCTGACAGATATTATCACTTCCAAACCTGAATGAAGAAAAGGGGGTTAAAAAGTTCAATGAAATATATATATATATACTGAAGTGTACGATCAGCTCATTTAACAACTTAAGCGGTTCAAGGGAACACACTTTTATTTACTTGATTATATTCTCCACATGCCCCCTCACGTGTGGACCTGATTCTATTTTCATTAGCCAAGGACATGAATATTTTCTTGATAAAGGGTGACAATGAGATTAAATCCCAGGACATTCCCCTACTTTGACACCGATTTTCTTGAGAAAGAAGTAAGAAGAAACAGCAAAGTGTGTACATGAAATTCATTTGGATGCCCCTAGAGCTTGGTATAGCTAGCTATTTTCAACAAAAGGAGTACGTGAAAAGTGAGAGGTTTAATCTATTTACCGAACACTTGACCTGAAATTGCATTTTCTGTTGGTGTTATTTCCATGTTTATGCAATAACCTTCAAATGTTCATTATAGATCAGCAAATAGGCAACGGTTAATTGCTGGAACCTTGGAGTATGGCATTTGGTACTCCAAGATTTCTAATCTTAGATTGTGTGGGTACACAGACAGTGATTGGGCACGTTCGTTGGATGATAAGAATCATTTTCCTCTAGGTTCAGGAGTGATCATTTGGAGCTATAAGACAGTAGCATTTTCGACCTCAGAGGCAAAGCATGTGGCAGCAGTTGTTCACATCTTAACTGTTAAAGTGTTTTTCAACCACTTAATGGATCTGAATAGATCCGGATGATTAAGATCTACAACAAAATCTTAATGTCATTAAGATGTCTATCAAAACATTTCTTAAAAATTGACAGTTTACCACTACTCCATCCCCTTTCACCGCTAACCGTTGCTCGCCACAACTGTTGTCAATCACAACAGTCAGTCATTACCACCACTAGCCATCATTTACAATCATCACCACCAAACACCGTTACCATAATAACCACCCATCTCTGCCGACAATCACCACTATATATCGTTGATCATTATTCACCACCACCATTAGCTGCACAACATTCACCACAATTGTCAACCGCCACCACCAACTACCACCATCAACAATCATTATTTAACCGCTTAATACTAGCCACCATCATCACTATGCACAACAAGGACCACCTCCCTAATCGACATCTACAACCACCACTAACCCTATATAATTTTTTTTTTGATATAGTAGTAAATTGATTTAGTATTATTTTTTTTTGATAAAGGTAAAGTTGTATTCTTCAGCAATGAGGGTATGCTGGCTACCATCAAAAAGATTTACAACAGTGACCCAAAAAAGACCAACTCAAGAAATTGCTACTAAACTTATAAAGAAGAGAAAAAATTTAAAATCTGTCCAGCATCCTCTATACCCTCCTCTTTACACCAAAAACAGAAGGTCTTCATACAACGCCATTTGATCTTTTGTACTGATTCTGCAGTATTTTCCATACACCTCTTGTTTCTTTCTCTCCAAATAGTCCACCATATACAAGAGGGTATCATGTTCCACCATTTCTTCTGGCTCTTACTCCCCCCTCTTCTCACCCAGCAACTATGAAGGTTTGCAGTGTGTTCTGGCATTGGTATTTTATTTGATATTTATTATAAAAACAAGTTTTATACATTCAGATGTTAAGAAAACAGTCTTAATTATTTATTATTCGACAGCATGCACCACCAAAGATTGTGTTGGGGTGGTAAATACCCCTTTATAAATAACAAGAGGTCTCGGGTTCGATCCTGATCAACTTTATCCCCCAAAGTTAGAGTTCTAGGCGTGAATTCATATAACTGGGGCACCAAAAGAGGTACTATAGACACTAGGTGGGAAACAAAAAAATATATGACAGTGAGCACATCTTTAATCATCAGAAAATATTTTGATTTAGCACTTGTATAACATAGAATAAAATTGTTGCAACTATTTGTTTTAATGGTAAGAAGGGCAGTAGGTTGAAACTCAGAAACAAAGTAGTTTTCATATAAACAACCAGAATTTACCTGCTGGCTTTGCAGCTATAGCTTCTTGATAGACGTCAGTCACGAACAAAATCTCGGATGGGTGATCTACCCCCAAGGATGCTGTAATTTCATGGTAACTTTTTGTTTCTTTCTTATTCCTACAAGTAATAGAAGTAATTTGACTTACTTAAAATGACAAGAGAGATCCGGATACCACCTCAAAATTGGAGATGTGGCTTGATGAAAGGTAGAAATTTACCCTACTGTTGTATCGAAAAATCCACAGAGATATTTTCTCAGGTCCCCATAGTTTGTGTAACCAAACAAAAGCCTTTGTGCCAATCTGCTGCCACTTGAGTATATGTACACCTTAGGAACAAAACAGCTAGTCAGTTTGGCAAGCAGCTGGCGATAAGAGGTTATAGACTTTGTAACACGCCTTTTGTCAGGATAATGAAGAAGAAAAATGCGCTTAATGCAGCAAGCTGAAGCTGTTAATACAACAACAGTTATTACTACGTCTTAGTCCCAAACAAGCTGGATCAACTATATGAATCCTGACTTCTTTCCTGAAGCTGGTATATGAATCCCCACTTCTTTATTTAAACTCAAATAAAATCATCATCATAACAAAAAAGTAAAAAACAAATTTATACACACATATATATTAATAAAAATAATGACAAAAATAATATTACATGTTCTCCAACCAGTCGAAAACTTATTCCCAACTAGTAGATATCACCTATACATATCTTTTCCTTCCATTGTACCTTATCTTTAGCTAAATCTACATTGACTCCAAGAATTTGTAGCTCTTTCGAGACAACTTCCTTCCACATGATTTAGGCTGAAACCATTTATATTAGAAGAAATTCCTTAATTTTTTATAAGGGACAAAAGAGAAATTCCTTTGATCATAATCCAACATTAAGTCTTCATTTGCAACTACAACTGTATGAAACTAGAGCTCATTAAAAAGGTGAAACACTCAAGTGCAGAAATGATGGGCAAACGAGAGGAACCTTGATGCCTGAAGCAGCCCATCTCTCAAGAGCTTCGGGCACATCATCAAAAACAACTCCCTCTAACTCGTTATTTTTAAACCCCGTTTGCCATATATGCCCCTGAGTAACAGAATATGAAGACAAGCACAAATTGTAAGGAACATGTGTTGAAACTGAGAAACCATAAAACATTTGGACGGGATGAGGGACAAATAATTTTACCACAGATCTCCTCACCTGTAACTCCTTTAAGGCAGTAATTTTTCGGTCAGCTTTAATCATTGCCTCAACATTTTTTACCAAAGCCGCAATTACCTTCTCCTTCCCAGCATCATTAGAGGGGATAGGCACAGCACCGGCAACACCATTTTCCAAGTCTTCTTGTACCTGAAAGAAGAATGTAAAGGGGGCAAAATTCAGTTGCCTTTACAACATAGTACCTAATTATGAATTACAGTTTTTTTAAGTTCAACATGTATATTAGACAGTTTCTACTTATGACAAATGTTGAATCGTGTTTTAGTGAAAAAGGAAAGCACCTACTTTTACATAATAATGGATACAATGTATAAAGACAAAAATCTAGAACACCAGCTGAGTGGTGTATTCTACTTCTTAAAATATTTAGTAGGGTTCTAATTTTATTCAGCTTTAGTTTTCATATCTTACTCTTATGTGTATTGTCATGAAAGAGGAAAACTTGAACCTAACTCTAATGCTATTCCTAATCTTGAAAGTAGTGAAGTCATTGACAGAAGCACCACTCCTTCCTCAATGCCCTTGTTATCCAACACATCGGAAACCCTTTCATGATTTCTCTTTCTAGTGTAATTGAATTCAGAAAAGCAAAGCACACTCAGCATGGTATTATTATAAAAAAATGGCTAACATGTGGTGTTGAGAGTGTAAAACAAGCATTTATTTTCTTGAAAGTGGGAAATTCAAGTGAATAGTACCGATTTAATGGATGTGTGATAGTATATGTAATGAATTATTACCATATAGAAGAGGTAAGAGGTGTAAACAAGCCACTGGGCTCAACTTGGGTTATATAGAGAGTAGCTAGAGCTCAGATCGAGATCAACCTATCATGAAATCTCCTCTCAAAACAATTTTCTCAGAAACTTAGCTTACTTGGGCTCTTAGTAGCTTAATATCCTCCTGGGTTTCTTCAGAATCATATGTTGCATCCAAATGCCTCCCCACATTATCACGAGCATAAGGAAAAAGAACGTCTGTAACAAATGATATGGGCGTTGTGGTTCCTTCAATATCCAAAACGATGCAGCGCTGCACCAAACAATAAAAATTTACTATGCAGTCATGTGACACTTAATTACATGAATATAAAGCTTAAATCAAAATCATAAATTTCAAGAAACTAGAGAATGGTCCATAATTTTCAAATGCTTACCCTTAATGGCTCAATGTCACCATTTGAAGCAAGAACACCTGCTTTTGCAGACATCTTGACATTTCGAGTGCTGTCTAAAGCACCATTGCAGTTATGAATAGGACCATGAGTTGTTGTTATCCAGTCCAGTCCGAATTGATTAAGTTTAACTGTGGCATCATGATAGCGATGATTCAATTGTACCTTTAAAAACAGAGGAGCACAATCAGAATACTTGGGAGGCTTATGCGGGTAAGATGTGGCCAATGGCACAGATAACACATACATAGCCTCTTCCACCATCCTTTCCTTCTGCACCCCTGATCAAACAACCCAAAATACACACAGAACTCAAAGAAGATAACAGAAAGCAAAGTTCAAGATTTGGTAGGGTAACACAGGAAAAATATCAAACTTAGTCCCTATTTTCACCAAACCAAACTAATCTGACTTTAGGAATATTTTTTGATAACCTTGAAGTTTGACCCTTAGTGGACAAAGTTGCTCAATTCTGGTGGGAGGTAGGAGCTAAGACCACGGGCGGAACTAGCTAACAACCAGTAGCTTTGGTTCGAATCCTTGCTAAATAATAATATATTTCGAACTTAATAAATCAAACAAGAATCATGATGATTTAAATTTAGGATCTGCCTCTCATTCTAAGAGTAGGGGCGCATGCAGCTATTTAGTTGTGGGTTGATCTAAACACAATACTTTTGATGCAGAACATAAATTTATGTGTAAAAATCAACTAAAATTAGGATAAATAAGAGGCATGAACCCATAATTTTTTTAGAGTTTCCTAACTGAACCATCATCAACTACTTATCAAAAGCATAATAAATAAACGTGTCATTTAGCTTAGATATAACTGACATCTATGTCCTCCAATTTTAGGTATCCACAAGTAGAGACTTAAACTTGCATAAAATTAAACAAATAAACACATGTGTCCTACGTAGCAATTCGCGTAAGATACATTCGAAGTGATTTCTATTACGCAGGGCACATATTATGTCATGTAGGATGCATGTGTCTACTTGTTCAATATTATACAAATTTAAACACCCACTTGTTAACACTCAAAGTTGGAAAGCATAAATGTCAACTGAAGCTCAATTAAAAGATACGTTCATGTATTATACCTTTCAAAAACGATAGGAGCAAGACTCCTTACACACCACCCTCATTATACCCCACACGGGGATTAGTGATTACACTAGGTATGTTATGCATTGTAAAATTTTATCAAAACACAGCTCAACTATCCGCGGTTCTCTTTTCCTATGTAAAAAAATGAGTATAATTTAATACAATGGGTTCAACCGTAGAGCTTAAATTTTGGATCCGTCTCTAAATAAGATGTTAAATGGGTGCTTACCAGAAGGGGAGATGACGATAAGTTGTTGAGGTTTAGGAATTGAGTTATCCTGAACTTCCAAGTATGATTGTGAATTTGTCGCCATTTTTAGAGCTCCGTTCATTGCCATTAATGGCGCTGCTGAAGCTATAGCCATATCTGCTCTCTACTTCAATTGAATAGCGGTGTGTTGGATATTTCTCTGTTTAAAAAATGCAATACATTTGGATAAGAAGAAGACAATAAAGTACAGTAATTAGTTTATAATAAATATACAATATTTTATAGATATAAAAAATAAAATATTTTTTTAAGTTTATTGTTTACAGTCCGTGTTAGGTAAAGCAAAATTGCCGTCTCCCTAACACAAACCCTAACACAAATGAGTATGAGTATGGCAGATGAAGCGGAAGACGCCATATTGGCATATCTCAAAGACAACGATGAGATTTCAAATTCTGCTAACTTTGCCCAGGATTTGGGTTTTAGCCATGACGACATTGTCAATGTTATTCGCAGACTCCATGGCTTTCGACTTGTCGATGCTAAGGTACTGTGTATTCAAATTTGATTAGAAAATTGAAGTATTAAGCTCCAAAGCAAAAGGTTTCCATATAAAAAGGATTTGAATTTGTTGAATTGTGCAGGACATTAGGAGAGAGAGATGGGTGCTTACAGAAGAAGGGAAAACTTATGCTGCTGTAGGTTCTCCAGAATTTCAGCTTTTCTCAGCAGTACCACCGGAGGGAATTGCGCGGCAAGACTTGCAGGTTGCACCTTATTTGGTTTTTAGTGTTTTTACTTTTTCATGCGCTATTTCAGATTGCTTTTACATCAAACATTACAAAATGAAAGATTTGTGAGGTCTCTTTTGGCTAATCGTCTACCTGGATGCAGAAAAAATTGGATCCTGCAGTTTATAAAATTGGTTGCCAGCAAGCTATAAAGAACAAGTGGGTGGAGATGGCAAAGACACATGTCTCAAAGAAGGTACAGTAGGCAGTTGTATAGGAGTATAATTTTGCTCCTTTTATTTTATCGCAAGTGTAGTTTTGCTCATCCTCCTCTGTATGTCTAATCTATCATTCTTTGTTATGACCGCAGTTTTTTAATTGATGAAAAACTGTACCTTCTCCCAATCCTTGCCTAAAACAAAATATTATAACCTTCGGTACCAAAAGATTATTCCATTGTTAAGCTTGCTTCTTTATTGCTTGATCGTCTCTCATTTGGAGTTGCTTATCTCTGCCTCTCAATCACCAAACTCGTCCTGCATAATTCATTTTGATAGGTAGTAGTAGTATTCCTGTCTTTGCAACTTCAATTTTGTTTTCAACCTCACTCTACTTAAAGTTTTTAACTTTAATCGACTCTTCTCCTATCCCTTCTACTTGAGCTTGTAAGTGCAAAAGTATATCTATACAACCATCCTGAAGATTAGGACCCAATTGTCTCCAATACTTTTGAGAGCAAAATATGTGGAAATCTATGAGTAGCGACCCTTTTGCTGAAAGGTCTTTTTCGTGACCCTTCCGCTATAAGGTCTTTTTCTTTAGAGAAAAGAGGCGAGATAAATGGACTAGTCTCATCATGTGACCTTGCCTAAATGATGAATAGCAGTTTATCTATTCCTTGATCTCCAGTGGTTCTTGCTTGGGGGACTAGGGTAGTCAAATAATCAGGAATCGCCTCATGCCTCATGATGACTATGAAGGTCTGGAAAAGCCTTTATTACTTGCTTAGTACCAGTTCTTTAGCGATATTAACGTGTCATTTCTAGCCTATATTCAACATTATTAAACAGTAACTGTCCCTTGACTTCCCTTGTGGTGGTTCCAGGATTTTTCTGTTTCTCCTTCTATGTTTTGTTGCTGCTTATTGTATGCCATCTACTTCAGTTTATAGCACAGGGCCTTCTTTTGTTTTACTGTTTTCTTTCCTTATCCATATATGTTGAATGAGGTCTGTGAGAACTATAATGTAGAGGCAGCAAGGGAAGGTGACATCAACATGTGCTTATATTAATACTTCTTACAGGGCTACCTTTTAGTCTATTTGCTGACTTCATGTAGGTCCAACATGCTGATGACAAAGTTAAAAATTTGCTGTTGCGGATACAAAATGACGAGGTATATAGTTTGTAGCCAGTGGTTATCTTATTCCCCAACCCTTCACTTTTTGCTCTCCTTTCATCTTTACTAATAGCTCTCCTCCCACACAGGAAATTAGTTATGGTTTTGTAGCTAGTTGACTATTATATTAATCAATTTGACTGTAACAAAGCAATGCTTTGCAGGCTGTCAATCAGGAGGATATTGATGCTCTAAAGCGAAGAAAACTAATAATTCAGCAGTAATTATCTATTCTTTAATCCTTTCTCCAGCACTTGACATTTACAAGATGTAATCTTACAATTATTCTAATACGTTTTCAAATGCTGGTTCTTAAATATGTTTCTTACTGCTGCTCTTTCTAGGGTTTGGAAAGGAAATTCCGTAAGAAAAGGTCCCGAATATGCCCCAAAAAGGAAAAGAGCAGTGACTGATCTCACTCGGGAAAATTTACAGAGGTAACTTTCTGACTCATTTGGAAAGAAAAAACTGTTAGTTCCTCATAAAAAGATAGCTAGGTCATTCAGTTATGCGCACAGCTCGGGTTAAATTACTGGAAAAATTAGTATTTTGGAATGTGACAGTCAGCTTTTGGATAATGCCTGAATAGGGAATTTGTATCAATTGCTAAGGCAGTGTGAGCATATTATTCAGTCCTCGGTTTTGAACTATAAATTGAAGAGTTGGTAAATGCTCTATAATTTAATCAAACGCCAAAAATTGACGGAGTTTGACATTGTTTTTGAGTTTGAGAAGTCTCTACGTGTGGATCTCCAGGAAAGTGTACCTTTTTAGCTTTTTCTTCAGATTCGAACCCTAGCGCTTATGCTTCAGAATTTCAACTATCCCGGAGTTTCACATGTAGGATTTTAGAACTCCAAGACAATGTGCTTGAGTTTTTTTGTGTTTTAGCTTTTAGAGTATTTTACTTCCACAACCAGTTTTCAGATGTGGTCTATTTTTCAATTACTAGTCAAAAAAGTGGTCAGCACTTGCTATTTTTATGTTTAAAAAAACAAAACAAATTCATGGAAAGGGTAAATGGAGAAGTTGCAATATGCAGTTTTCACAGATGGTTTCAGAGTATTCAATATTTATTTCATACAAATTCATGTGTTTGAATAATTAATCTAAGTAGGGATGTAATTCCATGATGGAATTTAGTTTATTTTCTAATTAACATATGTTACTTGTTCTTTTGAAGAGGTGACTGGAAGGAATTGGAATTTAAAGAGTACAACTTCAGTGCTAAAGGTCAGCCAGTCGAAGGTGGCCATCTTCATCCATTGCTCAAGGCATGTTTTGGTTCCCTTTTTCATTATTGATTGTTGTTGTGGCCTTAAATTGATTTTTTCCTGTTAGCTAACTGAGGCCAAATTGTCTTCCCTCACGTGTTGATTAAATCTTACCATCTTGTTACAGGTTAGGCGGCAGGTACAAACGATTTTTCTTAATATGGGGTATGACTAAATGACCTTTTCTCATGTTTATATATAAAGGCTGTATTCCCTCTAAAAAATTTCTATATATGGAGGCTGTATAAATGCATGTGTGTAGATGAATGTGTATATATATATATTTAGTTATTTATTTGGAAATTCTTTGTAGTGGACTGTAAGTGCAATATTTCATTTGAATTGTGCAGGTTTGAGGAGATGCCAACAAATAATTATGTCGAAAGCAGGTAAGCTATTATTTTTTTGTTAGTCTTTTCCAGTCATAAATACAAGTGAGCCCTTCATAATTGATGGAACATCTTCCCAAAGTAAAAAGCTGTTAGGCTATATGAAATAACTGAACTAGGAAAATGGCGCATCTTCTTGCCTTTTTACTTTATATCTGAATAACTGGAGGGGACATTTTCTTTGCATGGCTCTTAGTTAAGAGGTTGATATGTAAATATTTTGAATCAAATCCTACTTCCTAGCAGTGGCGAATTTATGTGTAAAAATTGGGTCACCCGAACCCGTGGTCCTCCGACTAAACTCAATATATTACTTGTATAATTATTAAAGAACATATTAAATAAACACTTGTTGAACCTGTTCTTAAAGTTGCTGGATGGTTCACTGGTTTGACAGCCAGATTTTAACACCAAGGTCCTGAGTTCAATCCCAGCCAGCCACAATTCACTTCTATTTTTTTTAGTAACTATTAACACTCGTTTTTTCAAAAAAAAAAATGAAATTCTAAAGCAATGGTGCACCTGTTTTCTTGAAATCCTGGATTCGCCTCTGCTTCCTAGTACATAACAGTTTCAAAGTACCTCTTCTTTAAACCAATTTACTAAATACTATTTTTTCATGTTGAACATTCATGAGCTTCTGATGGTAAACAATCAAATTTATTGAAGATGGATGGTAAAATATAGCTATACAATATTCATGAGCTTTCAAGCTCAAACTGATGGCAAACCATAAATTTCACAACGTAATCCATTTAGGAGTCTTCTCTGGTGTATAGCTAGTGGTGATTTGTGCACTGTCATGTTCTCTTAGAAAAAATTGTTAGGATTAGTATTTGTTTTAATCCTTGTCTAAGAAGTGTATGTCAATGTGGCTGGTCATAATTTGCAGTTTTTGGAACTTCGATGCACTTTTCCAGCCCCAACAGCACCCTGCTCGCGATTCACATGATACTTTCTTTTTGAAAGGTTAGTTTGACTTTACATTTTATCTGCCTCATGTGAGTTTCTTCTAATGAATTATTTGTTTGAATTGTAGTGCCTTCGTCTACAAAGATGCTGCCAGAAGATTATGTTGAGCGGGTAAAAGAAATTCATGAATCTGGTGGTTACCAATCTAGGGGGTATGGTATTCAATGTCACTCACACTTGTCAAGGTTTTGACATTTCTATACTCAGCATTTAACAGTTCTTCTTGCTTAGATATGGGTATGATTGGAAAAGAGAGGAAGCGAACAAGAATCTTTTGCGGACACACACTACTGCTGTTTCGTCAAGAATGTTGTATGCATTAGCTCAGGTCTAAATGGCTCACCATATCCAGAATCATAGTTTCATATATTGATTTTACTTCGTGCATTT